GAGAAAAATAAGAGAGAGACTTTCCGGATTGAAAAATGAATTAGACAGCTTTAATTAAATACTAATGATAAAAGAAGATGTGTACAATTATATACAAATGTGTTCAGAAATCTGCAGAACCCCTATTGCCTTCCCCATTCCCCAGCAACTCCCATGGCATCTTCTGAGCTGTGAGCAGTTCCGAAATGTCCTGGAGCGCTGTCAGAGAGAGTGGCAGAGCAGACAGGAGCTGAGGGGAGAGTTATGAGGGTCAGGAATGCACAGGCCTGGGGATCAATGATGATGGGTAGACAGAGTCCTCCCTGGACAACACCCATGGATGGAAGAGAAGGGAGGAAGAAGCCAGGAGGAAGGGGCTTGACTTCTGTGATCCCTGAATTTATACCAAGCTTTACATAGATATATGGAGTGGAATACTTTGGTTTGCTGATTTTACCATATGTCTAGTCTGCTCCTCCCAACGTAGGAGGGTTGCAGATATGTCTCTTCTGCTCCTTTAGCATCCGAAACCGAAGCAGAGCAAAGTGTCCTTGATGTCTCACCAGTATCTATAAATATTCCAGTGTTATAAGTCCACTAGCTGTAAAACTTGCTGCTAGTTAAGAGAGCTCACTGAAGAAAAAAACAATCAGTAAAAAGTAAATTGCCTTCATCCTGGCTCAAACCAGGACAAGCATAAATACTGCCCTGTTTAGAGGAACATTGATTTGCTTTTAACTTATTTTAAAAGGGCAGGCAATATAGATGCACAAAACACACTAACCAAAATAGTGATAATGCTTCTGTTTATAAAATTAGAACAAGATAAGAGGCAACAAAAATTTTAAAATAAATTTAAGTCTTGGATTGTGGAGCTATAGCTGTTTCTTTACATCTAACCCAGGGAAAGGAGTGCCCATGCTGTAGTTCAGGACTCTGTCCTGGTTCCTCAAATGAATGATCATGTGTCATCAGTTAAGACCTGTTTAGGATTTCTGTTGTGTGGGTGCAAGGTGTTAATACACCTGAGAATGCTGTGTAAATGAAACTCCATATATGTGTACCTAGACCTGTGTTTGCTCTTCTTTTTTATTCTATTACACAGAATAAACAGTTCTGTTATTCAGCATCAACAAAGTGCATTAGCAGGAGTAAATAGTTGTGCACATGTAATCAGTCTCAGAGACTGTTTTTAGTGTACCATAGAGCAGGTGAGTGTTTCAGAAGTCCTGAAGGACCCTTTTATTTGAATTCCCTGGCAGGAATTGCAGTTTCACCCTTTGTCAGTGTGGTACTGATAATGAGTTTCGGAATATCTTGTAGCTAATATTTGCCAGAGATTGGTATAGCAATTGGATGATAGTTTGTAGGCAGACAACTGCAGAGGAAAATGTTGTTACAATTCCTTTCTTTAAAAGAAACCACAAACAAACAACAAAAACTAACTGGAAGAGGATGTAACAAATAGCTAGGTTATGAAAAACAAGTTCTGGAACTTCAGTTATTTAGGGAACATGTCTCTGTGTTTAGGATTTGTAAATCTACAGCTTTTCACTGATTCCCCTGAGGTTGCTTTACTCACTATAAAGAGTGAGTATATCAGTAGTATAAGTGGCTGTGGACTCAACCAAAATCTGGTGAAGCACAGCTAACTAAAAAGTGAACATGCAGTGAACTTGCACTGTGATGACAGCACTTCATTATAATTCCTTTAGGCATGTTTCTGGTCACTCCATCTTAGAGAGGATTGTGTTTAATAGCTGGTATCCAGGAACATTACCCAAGGACACTGAGCCCATTCATAAGACCATATATTTTTATAATCTAATATCTTTTTTTTTTTCAGGAAATAATCAAGAGGGTGAATTATTCTCCTGTGATCATTTTCTTGAGGGTTAAAATGGGAAAATAGCTCATATGTACAGAACAACTGTGGGACAAATAACTGTATTCTTAATTAGATTCTGAGAAAAATAATGAATATAAATTCATTGTAGTGTCAACAGAGGTAGATTCACGTCTTCCCATCCAAAGAAGCTGCCTCACCTCATTAATTCAGGATCATTTCAGTTCTATGGGGAAAAAAAATTATAGCCTATCACTGCTAATGTGCAGTATAAAGCCCTTCCATCATGCTCTGGGTATTTTTTCCTCTGCTTCAGGTATTACTGCTTAGTAGGACATTTGGACAACTGCCCTACAGGTCTCCTGTGCAGAGACCCTAAAGTACTCTCTCAAATCCTGCTGAGACAAATCAATTCCTTATTCCTTTTTTTAAGAATGTGTGTCATGCTGGGCTACTGCATTCTTCTTATTCAAGAGAACATTCAGATTCAATGGGAAGATGTTTTTTTTTGAGAAGTCAGTTCACAATGGCTTTTATAAAGGAATAGAAGTTCTAGGGCCCAGGTATGCTTTCATGTAATTAGTGTGCATTTGCTTCAGCTCAAGCTGTATGAGAGAGTCCACTTCTACCACTGATCCTCCCTGATTTCTCGAACCAAGTCACGGTTACATGTAGTTACTCAAGTAAATACAGATAGCAATCACTTCAATATGTTTTATACTTATAAGTAAGTTTACATATTTCATTAATAAACTTTTTTTCCAGCTGTTTTTTATTTGCCAATGTGGGTTTTTTTGCCACTTTTAGAAAAGTAGAAAAAAGGTATACTTAGAACTCTTTCTCTCTTTAAATGCATTGCAGATATTTACTTAGGCAGTTTGATGTTTTCAAGGTGGGTTAATTCCCTGTCATACTTGATACACTTATGATATATAATCCAATTCCATTTTAAAGCTTCTAAAAACTCAGTTTTAAACATCTGCATTGTCAACCATTGCAAATAACTGTCATAATTAACCTTAAAACTAATGGCTACACAAGATCATGTGGTTTAAAACCAAATTAGAGGTTTATTATGTTGAGTTTTATTACATTATCTTAGTGCTGTTTTGCATAAGACATGCAGGAAGGACTCTTTTGTGTAGCTTTTAACAGCAAATGGCAAAAAGCTTTTCCTTTTACATTGTTTCCCTTACCATTTGAACGGAGATATGACTAGCATCAGCCTTGTTTTGCTCTTATTTTTCCAAAAGAGTTTTGAGTACTTTCAGTTAAATCTATTAGCCTTAGATGTTAAGAAGCGGACCAAAGAGACTGAATTGGACTACTGTTAAGCCATTAGATAAAAAAAGATTTGGGCAGTGTTTGGAAAAAAGCTTATTAATCTCTAAACAGTGAGCCTTTGAGAAATCATGAACAGTGCAAAGTCCCACTTTTTCTGTAGAAGTTGTTTCACTTTGCGCTAAAATGAAATATTATTAACCAGGTGGAGTGCAGGGTGCTGAAAAGTTGCTGATATGATTTTTCTTTCCTCTTTTTACTAATGAATAATTTATGTTAAACCCTATCTTTTTTAATAGCACTGCAGAGTTTTTCGTATTTGGGATTGAGGTTTTTTAAATAGTCATAGTATGATTATGCAAATATCTATGCTTAATATTCTAATTATTCTGCTGTCACTGCTTCTGTGCTCAATTGCCAGCCTGCTGCCAGCAGGAGATACTGTGGGAGTTTCCAAATACTGCAAGCAAGCCATAAATCCCGATTGAGTTTACATGCCCTGGTATCCTGCCTTAAATAGCCTCCTTTTTTACTGAGATGGAATCATTAAGGGGAAATCACACACAGGGGGCTCTCTGCCTGTTTTTCTGTGAAGTGGTTTTATGCTGTGCGGTTGTTTGGTTTTTTTTTTTTCTTAGGAAACTCTTTTTTCAAACTTGTATTTTAATGAAATAGTTTTATAGTGAAAACTTTTTCTTATAGTTGTTTTCTTTGGGATACCATTTTCCTAGCTTTTTCTGTCTTGTCTTCCCAGCCAATCTGCTTTGTTTAATTTTGTTTTTATAATCTGGGAGAGACCAACTAATATTAGAATTTGTTCCAACAACGATGAACGAGTTTTCGTCTGTCTTAATTTCCAGTGCATAGTTTTTCTCCCTATAGATACTTTCCTTCTTTGAAAGGGATCAAGGTAAGAGAAAAGAAGTCCAAAACCATATGTTAACAAACTTTCCCTTGGTGCAGTTCTAGGGTCTTTTCATCAGAGAATGTTAGCAGTGATCCCCTGCCAGGAAAATACCTCTAGATTAAACAGACTCACTCAGAAGATGTGGGTTTTTTTTGCTGTGGTGTATTTCCTTCAAATTCAGGAGAATAAT